CTTCCTTCCGAGGAGTGGCTGGTGGGTTTGAACCGCCAGCCTTCTGGTGAGCAGTCAAGTGCCTTAGCCACTATGCTACCAGAGCTCCCACCAGGATGCCACAAATATGTTTGTAAAGGAAGTCAAAGAAGGCCAAAAAATTGCTGGCCTGCTGGGAAGGAGGACACTTCCTACAGCCTCGCCTGGTCAGGCAAGGGTGCCATTTAGAGCTGGACGTTGGGGAAGGACAGAGTAATAGGCTCTCCAGAAAGACTGCTGTCCAACAGGGAAGTCTGTCCTGACTCCATTTCCCCATGAACACGTTTTTATGACGCAACACTGACCATTATTGTTTGCAGTGCATTTGAGTTTCTGATTCCCATTTCCCCTTTCCAGTAATGTGTCAGCAGTCACGCTGCTGAAGAGACCTTATTTAGCTTTGAGGGAGCCCTGGGGGCATCTGATCTTCTTGTAAGGAGCTGAATTGGTGCTAGCAACTCAACGACTGCTTGCTTGCAGGCTGTGAGCCCAAGGCCAGGTCATACCCAATGTCTGTATGTCTTTACAAACATTTTTTTGAACATTTTCTGTACAGCCTTGGAAACCTGTGAGGCAGTCATACTCTATCCTATAGGGTTGCTATGAATCAGAATCCACTAGATGGCAGTTGGTTTGGTTTTGGGTATTACGGTTTGGGTGAAAATTTACAGAGCAAATTAGTTTCCTGTTCAACAATTTATACACGTTGTGTTTCCTGACATTTGCTGCAATCCTATCAATGTGACAGCACTTTTCCCACTTCCTCCCTGCTTTCCTTGTTTCTGTTTGCCCATCTTCCCTACCCCTTTCCTGCCACCTGAACTTTGTTTTAGGGCAAATGCTGTCCTTTTGTTCTTGAAGAGTTGACGGTTCTGAAGACCGTGCTCCTCATGGGTGTTACTGGTCACTACATAGGCCTGTCTGTTGTTTGACTGAAATGATCTCTGGGAATGGGTTCAGTTCCAGGTTTGAAGGGTGTTTAAGGGGCATCGTCACAGGTTTTCCACTAGTCTCTGTCGCATTAGTAAACTGGTGATTTTTCTTTTTTTATGATTTTGAATTTTACTCTACGTTTTTCTCCTACTCTGTCTAGGACCTTTTTTATGATCCTAATCAGTCGGCAGTGGGTAGCTGGGCACCATCTAGTTGTTCTAGTCTCAGGCTAGTGGAGGCTATGGTCTGTATGGTCGATTAATGCTTTGGACTTACTGTTTCCTTTAGTCTTTGACTTTTTTTTTTCACTCTCCTTTGCTCCAGATGTGAAGAGACCGATAGCTTTCTCTTAGATGGCCACTTGCAAGCTTTTAAGACCTTAGTTGCTACTCAGCTAGGATGTAGAACGTTGTCTTTATGGGCTTTATTATGCCACTTGACCCATGTGTCCCCAGAAACTATGATCCTATGCCCTCAAGCCCAGTGATTCAGTCTCTCCCGGTGTTTGGTTATGGCTAAGAAGTTGGCATAATTTTGGTCTCTGTATGCTCAATTATATACGTGGGTATATCTGCAGCCCATGCATATATGTGTGTAGAAATAGCCTCTGCGGCTAAGAAGTTGGCATAATTTTGGTCTCTGTCTGCTCAATTATATACGTGGGTATATCTGCAGCCCATGCATATATGTGTGTAGAAATAGCCTCTGCCAAACTTATATATGCTCATGAGTTTGCTCCCTTATGCCATCCCACACCTGTTCAGCTTACACATCTACCTTCGTGTCCATTTGCAAATTATTGTTTATTGTTACTGTTATTGCAGGATCCTGTGTGTGATAGCATTACTGTTGTTGCCTCTGAGTCTTGCTGACCTCCCAGTGTCTTCCTTTGTCTTTGTCACGTTGTGCTGACCTTTTCCTTACTGTGTGTTGCCTTTCCTTTCACCCAAGTTAGTACATCTACTATCTAGTTATGATTTTCCCTCTCTTCCCCTCCCTTCCCTGGTAACCACAGAAGAATGTTTCTTTCTGTGAGTAACCATTTTTTAAGAAAAAAGCTTTTTATAACAGTACTCTCATACAGTGTTTGTCCTTTTGTGATTAACTTATTTTGCTCAGCATGTATCCTCCAGGTTCATTCATGTTGTGTGATGTTTCACAAATTCATCATTATTCTTTAACATTGTGGAGTATTCCATTGTGTATATGTGCCATAGTTTAATTATCCATTCATTAATTAACGGACACTTTGCTTGTTTCCATCTTTTTGCTGTTGTGAGTAGTCTGTGATGAACATGGGTGTGCATGTATCTGTTTGTGTCATGACTCTTACTTGTCCAGGATATTCCTTGGAGTGGGATTGCTAGACCATCTCAATGTCTTTCTGTCTGCCCTTCCTACGCTTGCTTTGTTAGCTTTGTCCTGGCAGGAAGGGTTCGTTGTCTGGGTCTAGATCAGTGAAGATGGAAAGTTCAGTAAGATGTGAGTTAGGTGATACTTTGTGGGAAGCTTGGGGAGTGAGAAGATACGTGAGTGTGGGTGACACACACACAACTCTGGGGGACCCTGGTTGACTGGCCGCTGGTGGTGCCGGGAAGATTGACTTTATTCTCTTCAGTGCATTTTTAACTTTTTTTCAGTCAGGTATATAAATACACACACCACACACACTGATATGTTCCCCCCACTCAAATTCCCAGGGAAAAAGAAATGTTAAAATCGTGACAACTATGTTAAAACTCTCAGAAGCACACAAAACTCTAGTAAATTGTGTAAATTGTGAAACATGAGTCATACATCTATATGTTCTTTGACAGCGTGAAAATGACAAACTTTTTAATCAAATTGAAAAATAAAAACCTGGCGTCATTCCCATCATTTTAGTCATGCCATACCTATGGCATGGGAGTTGTGAATTTCAAGAGATGTTCCTTGAACTTGAGAAGCATATGCTCTGAAATGCAGAAAGATATGTTACTGTAATAAGGCATAAGACAAATGTATAAAAACCACCATATCCTGAATCCCCTTTAAGAAAGCTTTTCAAACGAACTCCATAAATGTTGCCCAAGAAACTTCTGGGCAAGGCCAATAGAGTCATGGAGTCACTGGTGGAACAAACAGTTAACACTCTGCTGCTAACTGAAAATTTGGCTATTTGAGGAGATTTGAGTCCATTCAACAGACACCTCAGAAGAAAGGCCTGGTGATCCACTTCTGAAAAATTGGCCACTGAAAACCCTGTGGGCACAGCTGTACCCTGACACACGTGAGGTCACCATGAGTCACTATGGACTTGACAGCAACTGGCTAATAAACCAAAAAAAACAAACTCACTGCTGTCGGGTCGGCCCCGACTCATAGCGACCCCTCCTTGGGTTTCTGAGGCAGTATTACCAAGGAAGTAGATTGCTCAGTCTTCTTTCCGAGGAGTGGCTGGTAGGTTTGAACC